CTTCCGATCTAATTGAATGAGTTTTTAACATTTAAAAAAGATCTCCATTTCATTTTAAAATATGCTGTTTCCTACAGAAACACTCATTTTTAATGCTATTAACGCTTAGATGTTTGCACATGTGTTTCTAATCTCTACATATCAGATTATTACTAGTCACAGTTGGTTACTTTCTGAGCTCCTTGGCATCTAAGCATGGATATAAAGTCATCAGGTAGATTTCAATGGTAATGTTTTTCACATCTACTAATTATTAAGGAGCAAATTTTTATGCTTTGAAGAATCATTTTTTTTCTTTATTTATTTATACACCCACTTCCAAGGTAGCACCCGCCCATAGCCTCCCTCCCCCAATAGAGCCCTTATACTCTGATATCCCTGCTACTGTCTGCTGTTTTGTCAGCACCCACCAGCCATTGACCACTACTTGCCCTTCTAGTGAATCTAGTCAGCCTGTCTGGAGGTCTTTGTTTTTTTGAAGAATCATTTTTTTTCTTTATTTATTTATACACCCACTTCCAAGGTAGCACCCGCCCATAGCCTCCCTCCCCCAATAGAGCCCTTATACTCTGATATCCCTGCTACTGTCTGCTGTTTTGTCAGCACCCACCAGCCATTGACCACTACTTGCCCTTCTAGTGAATCTAGTCAGCCTGTCTGGAGGTCTTTGTTTTTGTTCCTCATCTAGTGGTAATCAGTTGTCTATATTCCTTTGGATAAGATTGGGGTCTGCTGTTCAATTTCCCAATTCTATGCTGGGTTACTATCTGGGAATCCCTTTGGCCACCCTGGCCAACAACTCAAAAGAAGGTATCACCTGTAGGAGCTCAAGAGAGGTAGGACCATAGGAGACGGGTATTATTAAGGGAGAAAGGGGGGAAATGGGGGCACCTTGAGTGGGAAAACATGATGGAGGAGTGAGACAATGTAAGAGATAAACAATGCCTAGCTAGTTTTGAAAACCAGAGAGAACCATATTACTCCTACAACCTACTAACAAAATATACATAGCAGATCAAGAAATATATGTCTAGGTAAGGTTTATCTGAGAACAACTGGTCTTTGCCCAAGATTTATCTACATGACACACAGTAATTAAAAGTACCAGACTGGTGGAACTAACCTTCTTGGGTGTTTAACAGACATACTTTGAGGTCTATAATAATTTGGTCAGAGGGACA